CTGTCTGGACCAAACACAAATACAATTATACCACCATATTCTGAAATCAGAATCAATGACTTTCAAGAAAAGGCTTCTATAGGTCAAATGGAGATCTGCAAGTCTTCCAGATTATCTTCAAAATCCATTGATAGACGTTTCCGTTGTGCTTCATTATAGAAATTACCAGATTTTCACACACGTATTAGAACTTGGAGGGGCTCTATCTGCTCTCGCCCCGCCCATTGCAGGCCCCTCTCCTCCCTCACAAGTACATTCACAAGGGCAGCAAGCCATCTTCATTCCTTTTCCAGGTCCTTGAATCCCAATGTAATAGCTTTATCATTTGCACTTTAATAACTTACTGTCTGACCCATTCTTTGCATTATGCCTTGTATTGCAGTTGTTTTTGTTTCTAACAGAGTAAAAATCCAAACGTGCAGGCAAGGCACAGTGGCTCATGCCTATAGTCCTAGCACTTTGGAGGGCCAACATGGGTTGATTGCTTGAGCTCAGGAGTTCAAGTCCAGTCTGGGCAACATGGCGAAACCTTATCTCTACAAAAATACACACATATATGTATATATTAGTTGGGAGTTATGGTATGTGCCTGTGGTCCCAGCTACTTGGGAGGCTGAGGTGGGAGAATTGTTTGAGCCTGGGAGGCAGAGGTTTCAGTGAGCCATGATCGCACCACTGCACTCCTGTCTGGGCAACAGAGTGAGACCCTGTCTCAAATAATAATAACAATAATCTAAAGGTGCAAGACCATGGCCTATTCCTCTTATTCCTCAAGTGGGACAGAATCAAGAAATGGTTAAAGGCTCCCGTCTGAGCATAGACAGATAGGGGCTGAAATCCCAGCTCTAAGGCATACCACCTGCCGAACCTTGGGAAAAATATTCTTACTACTTCCCATTTATAACATGAAGATAGTGGTTACCTTAGAGGGTCCCTGTGAAGCTTAATCTTGATCCCATGTAAAGCCCTTAATGGAGTGCATAGTATGTGGGCCCCAGATATCCACTGAGTGAGGCATTTCAGTGATGCATTTCCTCAGAAATTCACTAAGACACATAGATATAATTCATGATATTTCCCCCTTCAATAAAGGTTAGTTTATTATTAACTACTGTAAATCTGAAACATCAGGGAACTGAAGTTTTCAAGTGAAAAACAGAGCAGGAAAAAAGCCTTTATAATTTGCACTCCACAGCTTGCAAAAGCTTTTCACATCCATTAACATACTTATCTATAAAACATCATTGAAATGTAGATTATTTTCATTTTATTCTCTGAAATAGCTGCATTGCCCAGAACAGTGTGTGACACACAGTAGACCTTTCATGAAGAACTACCAAATGACAAATCAAGCTCAGAGTTCAAGGCCGTATCCAGGTTCTCAGAAATGACAAGATGTAGAGGAGCCAGGTCTTAGCATCCGAAGCCAAATCCTGCATCCTTTCCCCTCCATCACACTGTCTCCTGCCCCCAGGGTAAGGTTTCACAGAACTGTAATTATTTAAGACAGTCTATATTTTCTAGGTGACAATAACTTCAAGATAAGAAAGTGGAGTGGTTAAAAAACCTTCATTAAACAAACAAACAAAGATCATTTGTGTCAACGAGGGAAGAGATACCCAGTAATATAACTACTTTGATACAGATTTTTGCTTTCCTCAAAGTATGCTCAGCAAACCACCTTGATCATGGTATGAACAAGGGAAACAAACCAAATTTCAAAACCAGGCTGAATGGAAAGATGCATTGACTGAGCTTGCTTTGAGATAATATGGAGAGAGAGGAAGTGGACAGATCTATAGATAAAAACAACATTGGCCTTGGCCATGAACAAGGAGGTTCATTTTACTTTTTCTATTTCTACATATGTTTGAAATCTTAATTAAAACAATGCAAGGCCAGGCACAGTGGCTCACGCCTGTAATCCCAGCGCTTTGAGAGGCCAAGGCGGGCAGATCACAAGGTCAAGAGATCGAGACCATCCTGGCCAACATAGTGAAACTCCGTCTCCAGTAAAATATAAACGTTAGCTGGGCATGGTGGTGCTTGTCTGTAATCCTAGCTACTCGGGAGGCTGAGGCAGGAGAATTGCTTGAACCCAGGAGGCGGAGGTTACAGTGAGCCAAGATCATGCCACTACACACCAGCCTGGGTGACAGACAGAACAAGACTCCATCTCAAAAAAAAAAAAAAGAAAAAAATACATCTGAATATTTCATAAAGTGAAAATTTTATAGAAAACCATAATGTTTTATGAGTCAGGGCCACTCCATTTGCATTGGACTTGAGGAGGCATAGTTGTTCCTTGGTTAAACAGAAATATTTAGCATTTACTTGTTCTTTTTGTGTATTACAATTTTTTTCTTTTAAGAATCAGTTTTAGTGGCTCATGCCTGTAATACCAGTACTTTGGGAGGCTGAGGCAGGTAGATCACTTGAAGTCAGGAGTTCAAGACAAGCCTGGTCAACATGGTAAAACCCCGTCTCTACTAAAAATACAAAACTTAGCCAGGTGTGGTGGCACGTGCCTGTAATCCCAGGTACTCAAGAGGCTGAGGCAGGAGAATTGCTTAAACCTGGGAGGCAGAGGTTGCAGTGAGCCAAGGTTGCACCACTGCGCTCCAGCCTGGGTGACAGAGCAAGACTCCGTCTCAAAAAAAAAAAAAAAATTGTGAAGTAATATGACTGTTCCTTAGTTTACCATCTGTAAAATGAGAAAAAACAATAGTAGCTGCCTTTTACAGCTGTTGTGAGGATAATAAAATGATCCAATACAGCTAGTGCTCGACTTACGACCACGACTGGGACTGGCAGACCGGTTGTAACACGATTTGGTCGTAAGTTGAGTAGGCTATATGTACAGTTGAAATGGTGCACGTGGAGATGGTAGTGCTGCCGGAAGCTGGTCCACACTGTCGTATGCCCAGCTGGGCAATGTTTGCGCTGCCAGACGCGGAGCAGTCGTGGCTAGCGATTGTGGTCGTAAAGTCGAATGGTCGTAAGTTGCATAGGTCGTAAGTCGATCAATACCTGTATATAGAAAGCTCTGGAATAGGGCTTGACCCAAAGGAAGGCTCAGTAAATATTAGCTGTTGTTATTCTTATGTGAGAGGATTAAATCCTAGGAGAAGAAGCATATCACCAAATTGACACTTCAGGGACAGCTGAGAAGTCACTATAGCCCACATCAGGGCTCAAATTTACTTTCGTGTGTTGAATCATTAATAGCAAGGGAAATACCTAACTCGTAACCTACTGTGCTCAGGCCACAGGAAAATGTCACCCTAGTAGTGAGAGAGACATTAAATATTTCACTCTACCAGCTGCTCAGAGCAAAGCAGCCTGGGGTATATCTATTACTGCCCTTTTCAGATCTCCTGAAACACGTTACAAACCTCAAACTCTGGAATTTAGAATATAATATGAACAAAGCATCTTAGGGTTGGCATCTTTACATAATGAGTAAATGTGGGATTTTTCAGAATGATAAAGTGTTTTTGTTTATGGTGTTTTTTTTTTTTTTTTTTTTTTTTTTGAGATGGGGTCTTACTCTGTCACCCAGGCTGGAGTGCAGTGGCGTGATCTTGGCTCACTGCAACCTCCACCTCCTTTTTTTGAGAAATAGAAATTGTCTTTACATCTGACACCTCTGCCACGATATCCAGTGTGTAACTTGCCAATAAGAGACACATTACACCGGTCAGCCTAAAATAGTCTCAGGTTGTTTACCAACAATGTGTAATTGTGCATTGGAGAACCCAGAGCTGAACCTATTCATATATTCATGTTACATTCTCATCAGAATTGCCTTATTAAATTGTTCTAATGCTAGCCTCCTACATAAATGGTAAACTTCATGCATTATATAACAACGTCGACATTTGGGAAGGGAAAGATTATAACAGAGACTGAATCTCTTAATTTTTTCTCTACCAAGATAAAAAAAAAAATCCTTGATATGTGCTTGCTTCGGCCGCACATTTACTAAAATTGGAATGATACAGAGAAAATCAGCATGGCCTCTGCGCAAGGATGACACACGAATTCATGGGGTGTTCCATTTGTAAAGTTAAAGCCTTGATAAAATGGCCTATGGTTTTGACAGTTTCACATTGACTGCTTAATCAAGTGAATTCTGGATTACTTCTGTGTTTAATGGCTGAGGTGGTCATTATCTGTGACTCCCGGGCTGGTCTCCCTCTCTGGTCAGCTGTCTGGCCTCACCTAAGTTTACACAGGCAAGCTCCCAAAGGGAGCTTTTAACTTTTAACTGTTTAAAAAGCGGTTAGAGGTGATCAATATTCTAATCGTTTACAGGCCTTAAAAACAGAGAATCCCATATTCTCTCCCATTCTCTACAGAGTCACAGCAGTGTGATTCCAATTCGATCCAGTCCCCAGCCATAACATAATGAATAGTGGAGCATTGCCAGTGACAGACAGCTGAAGAGGACTTGCGTGCGCCCGGACACCAGGCTCCCTGTGGAACCATTTGAGCTTAAGTTACATGGTTCATCATCCCCCTTTAACCCTAAATACTCCAGGGGTAGTCTTTCACATTCTCTTACATAACCACGGTAGAATTATCAACTTTAGACAGTTTAATAATAACATTCGCAGCTATCTAACAGTCTGACTTTTGTCACTGACCCAATGATGTCAGTTACAGTATTTTTCCTCCAGGTGTTCCTTTAAGTAGCCATGTTCTTTAATTTGAAACATTTCCACAACCTATATTTGTCAATTACAGCACTGACATTAAAAGAATATGGTATCCCTTCTCTCTTTCTGTTTAAACAGAGCCTCCCACCTTTGGGCTTTCCCTGTCATTTCCTCATGATTGAATTTAAGTTCTCCGTTCCTGCTGGAACATCACATAGGTGATGCTGGGTCCTTTTGGATACGACATCTGGAGACACATGAGGTCTCTGCCCCTTGTCGGTGATTGCATTTTGATTTTATACTTTGGGCATGTGGTCAATGTGTTGTCTGATTTCTCTACTGTATATATTTTTTGAACTTGTAATTTGTGGGGAGACACTTTTTTTTTTTTTTTTTTGAGATGGAGTCTTGGAGTCTTGCTCTGTCACTCAGTCTGGAGTGCAGTGGCACAATCTCGGCCCACTGCAACCTCTGCCTCCTGGGTTCAAGCGATTCTTCTGCCTCAGCCTCCTGAGTAGCTGGGATTACAGGTGCAGGCAACCATACCCAGCAAATTTTTGTATTTTTTGTAGAGACGGGGTTTCACCATGTTGGCCAGGCTGGTCTCCAACTCCTGACCTCATGATCCACCCACCTTGGCCTCCCAAAGTGCTGGTATTACAGGCATAAGCCACCACGCCCGGACAGGAGACACTTTTAAGACATCACAAATGTCCCATTCCTTATCGCAATTTCCCTCTAAATGTGATATTCATGGACGGATCTCCCCTGATCCAGTCTCTACAATGGCCATGAAAGGGTGCTTTCACAGCAACCATTTCCTCCACATTATATAAGTCAGCCTGGGCATGCTGCTGTAAGCACAGCCTCCCTACTTTTCACTTATTAGTTAGTAATCAATATGAATGAATAAATTCCTATTTTTTCCAATGGCATATAATACCTTACTGTCCATAATTATTTTGCTGTCCACACTGTCTCTGGTTGCCCAATAAAAGCAGTTTCAAGCTAGCACATGTGTCCTTGTGACAGGCTCCCATCATTCTTTGAGCATGTCCATGCTTTGTGACAGTAATGAGATGATCTAGGCTTAAATTGTCCCTCTCCTGCCCCAGCTTGTAATCAGCAATTTCTCCCAGTAGTCCTGGTTCCTTTTAATGAGAAATGATAATAGAGACCAAGATCTCAGCACTTGATATGCATGTTGCTACTGAGGTAGCTTTGCTTCTTGGTCCTTTGATGGACAGAGCTAAGTAAAAAATATATAAACATACATACACATATACTTACGCACACACACGTTTTACATGGGAATGTTTATATATGCATGTATTTCAGAAATCAGTTCGTACCTATGCCTCCAATTCCAACTGATTTCCACAATGTTCTTTCCCCTCATCTCCCATTTCATATCTATATGTTCCTTCTTTCTCTGTGAGAACCTTGACTCTCCAAAACAATAACTAATTTGCTGAATGCTAAAATACACCTAAAGCTGTTTCAGAGTTGCTTTGCCAATATCACTACATAAAGTATACCATAGTTTAGAATTTCTTTGCAATTCTCCCTCACCATCCACCTGTGGCCAAGATGGAGCATATCTCATAGAATACTGTGTTCATAGCTCCCTGGGTTATTTCTTTCCTCCCTCTTCACTGTGGTTCTGGCATTCATTTGAAATACAACTGGGTTTGTTCATTTCATTTTGCTCTCAGTTTTAGGGGATCCCCTATCCCTGTTTTATACACACACACACACACACACACACACACACACACACACACACACACTTATATTTAAATATAACTTAAAAAATAGAGATGGGGGTCTCACCAAGTAG